ATCTCACTGTGGCCAACATGAGCTTGACAGGAGTAACCATACCTTTGAAGACATCCATTTTGATGTTTGGTATTACTATCAGCAATAACCTTTCTTGGAAAGTCACGAGAGATCAGTAACTAAAAGTGCATCCAAAACACTTGGTTTTCTGTTCCGGTCCAGGAGCTATTCCACTTTCAATCAGCTACTTATGATCTATAAGGCACAAATCCGACCTGGCCTGGAATACTGTTCCCATATTTGGAGTGCAGCACCCAAACAAACCCTGAAACTGTTGGATTCTGTCCAAAAAAGGGCAATTCGTCTCGTGGGTGATGCCTCGCTCACAAACTCGCTCACTTCTCTGGAACACCGTAGAAAAGTTGGCGATCTGGCTCTATTTCATAGATATTTTCATGGACGATGCTCTTCTGGAATATCAACAATTGTTCCTTCCTTGGCAGTCCCCGCGAGATCAACCCGTCGAGTTGAGGCTTCGCACCCCTTCGTGATCACTTTGAAGACCTGCAGAACATCTCTTTCCAAAGACTCGTTCATTCAATGAACAGCGAGGGTCTGGAAAACATTGCCAAAGGAGGTATTCCCCGAGGCATATAACTTCCAGAAATTTAAGAAGAGCACCTATTCCCACCTTATTTCCCTTGGTTCTCACGATGTTCTCTGAACATTACAGGATATCCATTTTCGTGGAATAAACCGTTATTTATTACTTCTTTAATAAATATTTTTGATTCGTTCCATTATTTTTCAAACTCCAATATTGGACTCTCCTTTCTTTGAGATACATTTCCATAGTGTATGCAAAACGATATAAAAAAAGATTCTGTATATGATCACTTTCTCTCTTTTTGGTCGTTAACAGCATTAGTAGATAGCGGCAAATGGAGAAAAATGTCAACAGCCACTACGATGTTATGATCATTTATAGAGACCCTGTACTTTATTTGTTTTTCCTCTCGTTACCTCGAATGTTCGTAGGAACCTGCTTTGACCTGTAAAAAAATGTTTTTTTGCACTCACTGTATTGAGAGATTAATCGAAATCTAATCTTATATGTTCATCAACAAATCGAAAACGAGTATTCTGAAATGAGTGAAATAAACTGTAATATTTCTGAATTCTAGTCCATGTAGTCAAGTCAACCTTGATAGAAAAATTGATAGAAAATTAGTTAAATTTCAGCTAATCTGTTCCAATATCGTTCCCAGTCATCGTTTCCGAATGTCTAAGAAGCTATATTCGAACAGCAGGCGTTCCTCGCATTAATTTTTTCCTCTCGATCTCTCTCGAAGGCGCAATAAAATATCTGGTTGTGTAAATCCTCGAAAATTTCCAATCAGGCCGGAGCCGTGAAATTAAACGTTCTCGAGAGCGTTCAATCAGACGAGTAATGAAAAAGAGATGCAAATTTATTTTCCAAGGAAAACCCTAATCGGCGACAGGGGAGACGAAACCAATCTGAAAGTCTCTCCGTCCATCGGAACCCATCACAGTTGCAGAAATCGTATTCGATTGCATTGGGACAAAGAGCCATTTGCATTCCATTCTTTCGCTTGATCACCAACATTTGCATTTGTCCTGCAAATATTTCAATAGAGATTGTTTGAGAGCTGAAATGGAATTGCAGGAAATACGTTTGATTGAGAATAACGCCGAAGAATCAACACATCATTTATCCCATCAACATCGACAATCATTCGATTTTGATGTTCTCCTCCGAACTGTTCATCATACAGTCAAGGATTTCACTATATTTCATTGATTTTACCATTTTCGAACATTTTATCGCATATATGTTGCGGTACTAATATTACATTTTTCCCAAGATTCTCATAACGCCTTTTGAATAACAGTGGCATCTCTTTATTCAATTATCTCCAATGAAAATGAATAGTTTTTTTTATGTTCTGGTTCCCACGAAAAGGGAAATCCTGTTCAGAGACCATCGTGAGAACCAAGGGAAATGAGGTAGGAATCGGTGTTTTTCTTGAATTTCTGGAGGTTATATGGCTCGGGGAGCATCTCCCTTGGCAATGTGTTCCAGAGCCTCGCTGTTCGTTGGATGAACGAGTCTTTGGAAAGAGATGTTCTGCAGGTCTCCAAAATTTCCACGAAGGGGTGCGAAGCCTCAACTCGACGGGTTAATCTCGCGGGGACTGCCAAGGGAGGTTAAATTGATGATATTTCAGAAGAGCATCGTCCATGAAAATATCTATAAAATAGAGCCAGATCGCCAACTTCCCTACGGTGTTCCAGAAAAGTGAGTGAGTTTGTGAGCGAAGCATCACCTACGAGACGAATTGCCCTTTTTTGGACAGAATCTAACGTGATTTTCCCAAGAAAGGTCATTGCTGATAGTAATACCAAGCATCGAAATGGATGTCTTCAAAGGTATGGTTACTCCTGACAAGCATATGTTGGGCACAGTGAGATCGGCTTTTCTAGAAAAAAGGCATGCTTGCGTTTTGTTTGCATTGAAATCTGCCAAGTTATTGGATCCCCATTCGAGAATTGTTGCCAAGTCCATATTCATCTTGTCAACATTTCTCCCTCGTTCGTTTCTAATTTGCCTGGCTGGTATTGGATCCCTGGAAGAGAAGGCGGTATGGAAGGTACTATCATCCGCGGAGCTGTGTACTAGACATGAAGTTGCTTCCAACAAATCGTTGATACGGAGTAGAAATAGTGTTGGTGCTAGAATTGATCCTTCCGGACACCAGCAGTTATGGTAAGAGAGTCAGATGAAACTCCGTCGACCACTACATGGAGATACCTGTTTGAGAGAAAACTAGCTAGCAGAGAACATAGCTGGGGAGGCAAGCCATAAGATGGAAGCTTGGCGAGGAGTCCGTGGTGCCAGACTCGATCGAATTCTTTGAAGATATCAAGTGTCACGGCTAAGGTTTCACCATATTTTTCAATAGATTGCTGCCATATATGTGAGACGTAAGCGAGCAGGCCAAAAGAATGTAGAGAATAAATTATTAAGACTGTGTGTGTAAGAAACAGATAAGAATAGCTCAAGTAGGTTGAGAAAGAGATTGAGTTGGCTCACAATACAAGTTGTTGAATATCTTCCAGTAGATTCTAACAAATCGAGAATATCATCTGTGTGTAGCCTAAAGCCAAAAACTGAATCGCCGTAAAAGTGTTTTTCTCAGCTGGCTATTCGGCAATTTATGGAGAAAGCGCAAAATCCGTAATCGATACTCGTAAAGGCGAATAGTCATCTATTCACAGCCGATTCCCTGGGGAGCTGTTCCGACCATCGAAGTCAGAAACAGGCATTTAGACCGACCTACGAGTGTGTGCTATTTTAATTTATCGAAGCTTCATGAGATATAACGGCTTTCTCAGTTTGTCACATAAATATCGTTGGCGGAAAGGTCCTTCGCGTTCGAGAGTGGAAAAATCCCGAAATTCTTTCGCCAAATGGTAACTTGTAACTCAACCCTCCATATACAAAACCCAATCCAAATCATAACACATTCAAAAGGAATATTCTCAGATATATTTATGAACACAACAAAATGGATATATACCTATATAAAGAAATACATTGAGAATTCGCATTCTCTATATCATGAAAATATTAACTCTTTCTCGAATGTAAAAACTTCACAAACGATAAGATTTCCACAATTTTTTTTTTAAACAAACATGTTTCGCTAACACAGTAGCTTCGTCAGGTGATATACTGGTACAATGAACTAAACTAACGTTGGCTTGCTTAACTTTTATATATCTTACTTTCCCAACCTGAAGGATTAGTTACCTGTGGACAGGTACGATAAACCTCCATTTTCGGAAATTAGGCAAAATACCTACATTAAATTATGGTATACCGGATTAACTTGAAAGAGTTGATATCAAATACATATTATTACTTACAAAGAAAACAAATTCAACAGTGGTGAACTATTAAGGTCTAATTGATCATTAAGTAAAATGTCCAAATTTTTTAGTTTGTTGATTCCTAATGATTCAAAATGATTGAGTTTCAGTCTTTTATTTTCTATGTGCAGAATGTCGAAATTATCATCAAAACTATGGGTTTCTTCTAATATATGGTTGGCGTATGTTGAATTTGTTTTCTTTTTCATAAAATTCATCTTATGTTCATGAATGCGCTGATTAAACGTACGACATGTCTGACCGATATATACCTTTTAGGACAAGATCCACATTTGAGTTTGTATACCCCTGATTTTTCGAATTTAGAAGTTTTGTCTTTATTATCCTTGATAAACCGTCCCAACGTGTTATTTGTTTTATATGCCACTTTTAAGTCCTGTTCATGTAGAAATGAAGCTAATTTCTCAGTTGATGATCCGAAATAGGTTAAAGTTCTATAATATTGATTATTATTCTTGATGGTAGGATAAACTTCTTGAATAGCTTTATGATGAAGTTTTTTAGAAAGAATACTGTTTATCAAATTAACGTTGTATCCGTTGTTGACTGCAATCTGTTTTATGATATTGAGTTATTTATTTAAATTTACTTCCGAAAGAGGGACATTCACTAGCCTGTGTATCATACTATTATATGCTGCAATTTTATGTTGATAAGGGTGTGTTGAATTATTATATGAATAGTGATATCAGTGTGGGAAGGTTTATGGAAAATTGAAAAATCATGTTTATCGTTAATTTTACTTATTGTCAAATCTAAGAAATTGATTGAATATTCAGTCCCTATTTCTATTGTGAATTTAATGTTTGGATGAATAGTATTCATACATTGATTGATTGTTAGTTCATACAAGTATACTTCTCCTATACATTTCAATTTTCATTTCAATACTGAACATATTGGTAATGTATATTTTTATATCATAGTACATCTATTCGATTTGAGAAATAATGTCAATTCTCGAATTCAGTAGATTGTGATTTTTCATGCTCTCTTTTTGGATATTCAATAGATATAATTCAATGATCGACGTGGCAAACAGCCAGGAAAGTAGTTGTTTTCTGTTGAATATTCAGAATGATATTATGAGCCTATCTTTTTATGAAGGAGAATGCAAATTCTCTACTTCAGAAGATTTTGTTTTGAAATTACTATCGTGTGTGTTCAATAGATGTGAGTCAATGTTTCTCGTGGCAAATAGCAAGGAAAGTAGTTGTTTTCTGTTGAGTAAACCGAGAAAGAGACATGGCGAATGCGAATTTCCAATGTATTTCTATTTATCCATTTTTCTGTCTTCTTAAATATATCTGAGAATATTCCCCTTCAATACTTTCACCCAATCAGAATTTCTTTCCACGTCCTGTATGATGAATATCAATTCATCATACATCCAAAAACATAACACAATCCTTTTTTTCCAGGTTTATCTCAGGATTTCAACCTCATTGTCAAGCCGAAAATCATCGACACCGATGGCGAAATCCGAGCACACAAGAGGCGCAGCGCCGAAGAAACCGAAGCAGCTCACGATCTCCTCTCTCTGTCTCAAAGCCTACCTCCCCTACCAGCCCCTAGCGTGGTCACGATTCACCACTCGGTACCCACAGAAGAAGACCCACCGAGCCCCAAACATTGCTACAGACCATTCATCCCCTCTGCACCCGAAAAAAGTACAACAGGTGGAAAAGACGCATGTCCCAAAACACCTGTTGAACTACCAAGGCCTAGCGAGACATACAGAAATGTCCAACAGAGTAAATCACCTGTTGCGATGTCACTTCAGCCTCCAGCGAGCGCCCAAACGGTACCACTCCAGCAAGCGACCCCTGTTATAGTGCAAACAGCGCCATCTGTAGTGATGCCTTGTCCCATAGTGTATGTGGTTCAGATGCCTAATACTGCCCCCACTCCTCCAGCTTCCGATAGTTCTTCGGACGCTGACAACGTGCAATATGGCTTCGTAGAGAGATTCAACACCAACGTTCCGATTCTTCCTGAGCAGAACGAAGATATAATTATTCTGCCATTGTCTCCTGAGCCTATGGTTCAAGATGTCAGGGACAGCGGTGATGATCAGAAGGGAAAGTGTGATATGGCAATGTCGCAGTTTAGCTTGCCTGATAGGCGAAAGAGGAGCAGTAAGAGGGGAAATGATGGGGAGGTTATGGAGAACAATAATGACAGCTTGGAGAGCGATAACAATGTTCACTCCAGGCTTGAAGGAGGTACTACTACGAGTTCTAAGACGGTGAGTGAGCCAGTTATTCAATAACAAGTATTCGTGAGTATCTTAACGCTAAAGGATTAAAGGTTGTTGATTAGTATTAATTCTAGTTATTTATCATGAAAGTGTCAAGCCTTTACACACGCAATGTACAATTCACCATATTCCTAACAATGTGAATCATTCATTCCATCAGTTCCTCAAGAATTACTGAAATAGTACAGCAGTCATCACTGCACCAGCTATAAATATGCAATGAAATGCTATTTCTATATTTATGGGTGTTATTGAGTTGACCAGCGGGTCACTTTTTTATTCATCGTTGGATTAGGTAATATTTCGCTAGACAGAAGTTCATTCTAAGTTCAAAGTATGTTCACATTGAGAATGCAAACAAGAACAAACTAGTCGTCTTCCATAAACAGTAGGTATGTTTTCACGGCAAGATGAGTTGTGTATAGGTATATATTCAAGTCGCAACAAGTTGAACTCTGTTCAAACCTTCTACGTCATCGTTCCAGAAGAAACTGATTGATTCGAATTGGACCAATCTCTAGCTGATTTCGAAACCTCTATCTGAATCGATGTTCACAGTTCACAGTTTCATTCATAGACCAAGAAAGTAAGCATTTCACGTCGTCTGCTCTTCCAGGGCTCCACTACCAGCCAGGCAAATCAGAAACGAACGAGAGAGAAATGTTGAAACATAAATATTGACTTGGCAACAATTTTCGAATCCAATAACTTGGTAGATTTCAATGCAAACAAAATACACGCATGGCTTTTCTCTAGAAAAGCCGATCTCACTGTGCCCAACATAAGCTTGTCAGGAGTAACCATACCTTTGGAGACATCCATTTCGATGCACGGTAGTACTATATTACTAAAAGTGCATCCCAAAAGCTTGGTTTTCTGTTTCGGGCCAGCCAGCCACTTCCAGTCAGCTGCTTATGATCTATAAGGCACAGATCTGACTTGTCCTGGAATACTATTCCCATATTTGCAGTGGAGCAGCCAAACATTTCCTGAAAATCTGTCCAAATAAGGGCAATTCTTCACGTGGGTGATGCCTCGCTCACAAACTCACTCACTTCTCTGGAACACCGTAAAAAAGTTGGCGAACTGGCTCTATTTCATTGCCATTTTCATGGACAATGCTCTTCTGAAATATCAAGGATCATTCCTCCCTTGGCAGTCTCCGCGAGATTAAGCCGTCGAGTTTAGGCTTCGCACCCCTTCGTGGTCACTTTGGAGACCTGCAGAAGACTCGTTCATCCAACGAACAGCTCTGGAACACATTGCCAAGGGATTTTTACCTTTCGGCTGATGATGGACACTATTGATGTCCGATACATGTTTCCCTAATTCCTCTTAGGAAATTAAACGTTGTGGAGATGATTTTGTGTTTGTCCCTTACTACTTCCGAGGTATACATTATAACAATATTTAGGTAGTGATATTTCCTATACCCATGTCTATTTTTCCATTATTAGAATTCTTTACCAGATTGTTTCGGTTTCTCAGACAGCTCTGGGGGGTCCAGACCCCATGGACCCCTTCCTTAATTATGCTTATGACACTGGTTATATGTTGTTCCAGAAGTTCTTCAAGGTCGTTGAAGACGATGAAGAAGACGAAGAGATCGACGTCGAAGGCACCGACGACCCCTGCAAGAACCGCTACGTCTGCACCGAGTGCGGCAAACAATACGCCACCTCCAGCAACCTCTCCAGGCACAAACAGACGCACAGAAGCCTAGACTCGCAGTCAGCCAAAAAATGCATGACCTGCGGCAAAGCCTACGTCAGCATGCCCGCCTTAGCGATGCACCTGCTGACGCACAAGCTCGCTCACGGGTGTGGCGTGTGCGGCAAGCAGTTCTCGCGACCTTGGCTGCTCCAAGGCCACCTGAGATCGCACACGGGGGAAAAGCCTTACGGGTGCGCGCATTGCGGCAAGGCGTTCGCTGACAGGTCGAACCTGCGCGCGCACATGCAGACGCATTCGAGCGACAAGATCTACAGCTGCCCGAAGTGCCACAAGACGTTCGCTCTGAAGTCGTACCTGAACAAGCATCTGGAGAGCGCTTGTTTGGTGGTGGATGCGAAGAGTTATCGTACGTATAAGAAGGGGACTGCGCATGCGGAGACTCAGACCATCACCGTCGATTGAGTCGGTGGGTTTTAGATGTGCTCAAGGTTTCTTTAAAGTTGATTTGGTTGATACTCTTTCCGGTTTGTGGGTTGTATTGCAGTTTTGCGTTGTTTTCATTTTCATTTTGCTAATCATTCGTTGCAGTCAAAGTTCGATCAGGGAATAAGTGAGGGGGAACTCGAAGGTTTGAAAGTCATAGCCACTCGAAACAGCAAAATTGGATATCTCATACAATGAGTTTGTATAGTACGTCCCTCTCGAAACCTTTGATCTGTTGGATATTTTCGAAAACTATTTGGTTTGTTTCAATGGGAGTTCGGTAATTTGTGGCGAAAATTGAGAAAAGACTTCAAACATTCCTCAATTGTCCACTTATGGATTGATAATATCACTTGATAATTCATAAACTTAGCAAGAAATCAATGTGAACACTCTTTTTTGATGAATGATCCAACAGTTGCTGAAGAACGTGTCAAATAACTAGAAACAATGGAATCCTCGAGAAACAATGCCTAATTCTCTAGCAAAATTTCATTTCATGCAATATATATTGGATTCTTTAAAAATAACTATCTTTCCATCACATACCCAATATCCAATTCATGCTAACCATCTTCAATCGATGATATTATTTGTTCAAAGTATAATCCTCAGCGAATTCTGACGAAAAGATTATATCAACACTCTTGAATAAATTATCCAAGGTAATAATTTCTGCTGGAATTATCGAGAATTCGATATGAAGGGTCTTGACATACTCTGATATCTGAACAGTGGAAAAGTAGGTTATTTCAAGAATTCAAGAAGTTGGATTACATGAGATATACACAGTCTTTGTGATTCTTTCATCAAGTTTTGAGCAGATTTATTATGAATAATTATCCAGATCGAAGAAAATCTGTGAAAATTAGTTCACGAAACAGTGTAATATGATGTAATCGTGTTTCATGTCATATGTTTGAAATATATTTTCTCTCCTCAGATGATTAGCTTGAGTTATCTCTAACAAACTTTTTTGGAATTGCTTCATTCATATGACAAATGAAACTCACTCCTCTTACAAGAATCATTTATGTAATTCTGCTGTAGGTATTAAATTCTGGAGTATAGACATCCTCAATCTTCTTCGAGCTTGCCAAGATCTATCAACCGTAGCTGTATGTTTATTTATATTTATCTGATTCCATATAGATATCGAGTTCAGTTGAATTTTGCCGTATTCTTCATCCAGGTTCTTCCACGAAAGATGACTAATTATAGGAAGGCAATTAGCTGTACTCTGAAATCTTGAAAGTCCTCAAACCGGCAATACCTACTGAGCAATATGAAAAATACTGATATAACGCTTATTACTAGTACGTACAACTAGATTTGGAAAAAGTTTGAATAGATTGTGAAAAAAGCAACGAAATCATAGTTGTAGGAGTCAATTCGTAACTTGTATTGCATACTCAAAATGGCATTCGATATTTGCAGAGATATTTACCTTTTTAAACACAGTGATATATGTTAGTGGATAAATTAGTATTAAGCAGTCTAGTCCAATCTCACAAGCATTCATTGAATCATCACTAGGATACATGTATTTATGGTTTTATTTATTTGTTTAGATGTTAAGGCGTTTAGGTAGTTCCGTTAATTTAAATTCCTCACTGAAAATTTTTATTTATTTGCATAGCAGCATATAATGTAAAACAAATTGAAATAATTATTGTTTTGATTCAATGAGCAGATTACGTTCTTCAAAGGCATTCACATCATTTTTCGAACTATTAAGAAATGGGACCAACTTTCATATTTATGATTACGAAAATACAAATACCTATACGTTGTGTTCTTCATTTATTTCGTCAATTTTGACTTCACTACATTCAACTCTCAGAGCTAATTTTATCGGGTGGTCACAAAAAAATCGGAAGTTTTTATTTTCCTCGTGGTTTCATCATTTCTCAACCGAATTCGAATTTCTTGGCGTCGTTTCATAGCTAAAGGGCTATAGTATGCAGTGGAATATTTGAAAATTCCATAATGAACAAAAACAAAATGGCGGATTCTACCAAAGTATTGTCATTTACAAAAACCGCTGGAGAGAAAGAAAATCAGATTTTTTCCAACCTGTACCGATGTCATCTTAGGCTATTCATTTCTTAAGAGAATGAGTACTCGAACATCGAAATCGAACAAATAGTCCAGTAGATACACTCATTTCTTTGCAATTTGTTATGGAGTGAATGTGCGAATCTCCTATAAACGATTATCATTATTTTGCAAGGGAACATTTTAAATCTAATAATTGGAAGAAACAAAATGGTGGAGAATCCAGAATTTTTGTGATTTTCAAAAGTATCTGGCGAATGAAAAAATTTTTATGCTTCCAATCAGGAACGATACAATTTTAGATCATTGATTTCTAAGAAGAATGAACACTCGAACATCTGAATCGAACAATTAGTCCAGGAGAAACACGTTCTTTTTGGCAAAGTGTTATGGAGTGAATGTGTCAATCGCGTGATAAGTATTACTTTTAGTTCGCTTTTGGCTTTATCAGAATTCGATCGAATTTGGATTTCACTCCATAACACTTTGCCTAAAAGAACGTTTTTCTCCTGGACTAATTGTTCGATTCAGATGTTCGAGTGCTCATTCTTCGTAGAAATCAATGATCTAAAATTGTATCGTTCCTGATTGGAAGCATAAACATTTTTTTATTCGCCAGAGATTTTTGAAAATCACAAAAATTCTGGATTCTCCACCATTTTGTTTCTTTCAATTATTAGATTTCAAACGTTCCATTATGTACTAAAGTTCTTTACCTTTGAAATAACTCCAAGAAATCCAAATTCGATTGATTTTTCATGAAGCCTGAAGCAGAATAATAATAATCGTTTATACGAGATTCACACATTCACTCCATAACAAATTGCAAAGAAATGAGTGTATCTACTGGACTATTTGTTCGATTTTGATGTTCGAGTACTCATTCTCTTCAGAAATGAATAGCCTAAGATGACATCGGTACAGGTTGGAAAAAAACTGATTTTTTATTTCTCCAGCGGTTTTTGTAAATGACAATACTTTGGTAGAATCCGCCATTTTGTTTCTGTTCATTATGGAATTTTCAAATATTCCACTGTTTACTATAGCCCTTTAGCTATGAAACGACGCCAAGAAATTCGAATTCGGTTGAGAAATGATGAAACCACGAGGAAAATAAAAACTCCCGGTTTTTTGTGACCACCCGATATATATTTCTCTACATTTGTCGATGTCTCTATCATCTATTCAAACCAATATTGATTTCAATTCGTTTTTCAATTTGCTAGAGGTGGATAACCATTTCACCAAGGAAGTATGTTTGGTGTACTAACCAATATCAAATCATCCGAGGATGATGAAAATCTGTAAGACATGCATACTCTATCAGAAAAGGTTGACTTTGGAAAAAAATGAGATAGAAAAATGTATGTGCTATAATTTTCTCATTCAAGAATCATATTGAGATTTCCTAAATGAAGACCAACCGTGGTTCACGTGATTGAACAGCTGGATGTCAGCCCCAAAGTTTTCAAAAATGAATAAATAGTATCTCCATTCGTGCACTCGCTATATCTCATAAATATCAGCGACATTTTAATAAAGTTTCGACAACTGGTCAACGAATCACTTTGACAGGTTTTCATATAATCCGTATGAACCCCGAGAAAAATCCAATAGACCCGAATGTCAGCTACCTCTCGAGAGATATCATTCCATTCGGGAATATTTCAATCCAGTTTTATATAAATTTTATTCTCTACCCTACTCGCACAGCTTTGATAAAACGCAAGCTCATATATTACAACGAAAAGATCAAGGAGTTTATTTGAAGGGAATGGGTTGTAGTATCTTCGAGAAATTTATAACTTTGACTGGAAGAAGTAAATAAACAGAGGGCAATTGAAATGATGTATAAAAAAATTCAATGGAAAGGTGTCCCACTAAGGTCGGCGAGGTACGATATCATGGAAATCATAAACCTCACGACTTCGAGGAAAAAATCGAGGACTAAATCGACCAAGAAAAATTGATAGAAAATATTTTCAAGTTCATAAAGCGACCGCTAGATGAAACAAAAAGTTGAATTTTTCTCGAAAACCAGCATATTAAGACACTGTTTCAATGATGGAAATGCAAAGTTCATCGAAATTCACGTCAGTTTGGTCCTGCACTTTTTTTCATATCTTGAAAAATAAAGGTGGGGGAAATTAGAGAAGAAATCATTTTTGAAAACGCTTTATCTCCGATATCCTTCCTCCAAATTCGATCAACTTGGGCTCATGTGGAAGAGAATTTCACACCAATTCGAACACTGAATTTGACATTGATTTCTAGTTCACACAGCGTCTACTAGATGGCGTCGTTCAACAAAGATTCTGTTTATTTCTTCCAAGAGAATCAAATGGAATGATACATATTCTGATCAACAGATTTGAAATGCATTAAACTAGTTGCATTTCGAGTTATTCTCGAATAACAAAATTTTATTTAAAAAAATCATGTTTAATCTTGAACAAATCCTCTAATTTGTCTTATCTTAAGTAAAAATACATTTGAAGGAAATAATTAGCAACTTCATCATATCCACCTGCGCTATTGAATAAAATGCTTATTTTTCGAATTTTCAGCCTTTTATTGCATGTGTTGATATAAATATTCTCGTTTCATGTGCAAAATAATAATAGTTGATGCAATTACCATCTCCTCACTGATGTCAAACTACATTACTATTAGCATCTATTAGTTGCTTAGCAACTATCTGCATTGAAGTATGATTGTTTCATTGTTTCAATAGGTATCACGATGAAAGTAGAGGAATAGGAGATTTGTAATATGAACATGATTTCTTTTGAATAAAATAACTCGAAAACGGATGAATATATCGAATCGCGGTTTCCGCCAAAATGTAGCTAATTTTATGCGTTTTGGATCTGGTGATTTTTGGAAAAAATCAAAAAAACAGAATCTTGGGTGAACGACGTCATCTAGTAGACGCTGTGTGAACTAGAGATTAATGTCAAATTCAGTGTTCAAATTGGTGTGAAATTGTCTCCCAAATGCCCAAGTTGTTCAAATTTGGAGAAAAAATATCGGAGATGAAGTGTTTTCAAAAATGATTTCTTCACCAGTTCCCCCCACCTTTATTTTTTAAGATATGGAAAAAAAGTCCGGGAACAAACTGACGCGGATTTCAATGAACTCTGCATTTCCGTCATTGAAACAGTACCTTATTAGTGATTTTCGAGCAAATTTGAATTTTTAGTTTTATCATAAAGATTGCGCCCCCTAGCGGTCGTTTCATGAACTTGAAAATATTTTCTATCAATTTTTCTTGGCCGATTCAGTCCTCAACTTTTCTCCCTCGAAGTCTTGAGGTTTATGGTTTCCATGATATCGTACCTCGCCGCTTAGTGGGACACCCTGTATATATGAATCTCATTAAAAGAATTTTGAAAATTTCATTGAAATCTGCCCGTATTTTAGATCATTCAAATGCAATTTCGCGATATCGGTGGAAGATGATTAAATTTCATATGAAACCTGAAAGCAAATAATGCTCTAAAAATCTTATTCTAGTCAGGTTGATGTATATCGTTGTATACTGATTGAAATTCGTGATCATTCAAATGTGTACTTTCTTGAAAAATATGTCGATTGAAAAATGATGTCACCGTCCATTTTGAATATCAAATAATTTTGATTAAAAGGTCTAACCAA